CGCGAACGTAGGATTCTATCTTCTTATTCTCATCCATTTCTCACCCTTCCTCTGACACTTTGATTTGTGTTTTGTTATCTTTATAAAAAATTAATATAAAATATTAACGTGGTTTAACGTTAACCGTTCAAATAAGATAAAAGAGAAAACGAGTGAGACTAGGAGAGGAAGGAATCCTCTTCCGATTCGAACTCGAGTGCTCGGAGGCCAACACACTACTTTATTCAAGGCGTTGAGTCATTATAGGACAGTATAAGTTCAAATATTATCGGTGACTAATTTAATATTTAATCTAACAATATCTTTCGACAGAAAAAAGAAAAAAAATCACACTATGATATTTCCACAGTTACAATAATGGGAGAACAAAGATTTATTGTCTTGCTGTTTTATTTGGAAACAGATCTCTTCTATCAAGTCCTCTCCATCAATCAATCCGAACGTGAAATTTGATAAAACAATTAAAATTATTATAACTTTTAAAATAAACTCTTATTTTTAACTGTTAAATTAAATTTTAAAGACTCAGATTAGTTGAAGAAGAGGATTTTGTAGCACCCTTGCCTTCAATCCATGGCAGCACACTTGCCTTCAATCCATGGTAGCACATTTCCCAAGCTTAGTGACCGTTTCTCCCACCGCCAGACACACTGGGGTCCGGTTTCACCGACCTCGTTGTTTGTTGGTAGTCCGGATTCTCCATGGCTGATTAGCTGGCCGTGTGCGAGAGTGAGAGAGACGAAATTTAGATTTTTTAGTCCGAAATTATTAAAAAATAAATTTAGTTTAATTTAAAAACAAAAAAATTATGTACATTATTATAATTTAATTTTATGAATATTTTAACTTAAAATATTTAAATTTCAATAAATATTGAAAAATCACTAAATTTGAGTGAATTTTGAGTTAAATAATTTTTTAATTATTTTAGCCGTTGGATTTAAATTTGGGCCATTAGACCTTTTTTTTACCATTAGATTTAATTATATTCGATCTCTGCCGTTGAATTCAATCAATCATGTAAGACATGTCCAAGTGGGTAGGATTCCGTTGATGGTGCCCACACCATTTTTGGGCTAAATCCTGGGGAGAATTTGGTTTTTGTTTGGGATTTAGCTTTTAGCCCACACATTTATCATGAGTTGGGTTGGGTTTGGATGGGGAATAAAACCTAAAAAATAGCATTTTGCCCATGGTTGGCTAAAATTAAAGTTGAATAGAAAAATTGGCCAAATTCTACAAATTTAAGGTGAAAATCGACAAATAACTCAAAATTCTAAGTGTCTTCATATAAATAACGGAACAAGTGCTTTAACCTTATTTTTTTTTCCAAACAATCATAAACGTTTCTAGTAGTTATAAAACATTTTAGTAATTCCATAAGCAATCTCAATCGTACCCTTAAGTAACTACTTTAAAGCAACTCATTAACATACTCACAATAAATTACAAGTGTTCATAATTTAGTATCGAACTCATTTCAAACTTGTGTAACATCGAATCAAAATAACTTAAAACTAAATTTTTATTCAACCAACTAAAGACTGAAAACTACTAAACCAACTGATCGCGTGCAATTCCCTCGAAATTGCTTTGGATTCCCCTAATGATAAATTTCAAAGGGGTTCCAGCAAGAGTTTGCCTGGAATTAGCATTTCAATCTGAAGGGGATCTAGAAAATGAGTGCAACCCAAAATTAAGGTCTGAGAAAGTCTGATGCGATTCAATGGGGGCATAAATGCCAAAGTGTACTAAAAGGAGGCAGATTTTCTGCACTTCTGTTTGAATGTCATTTTCATTCTCTTCTATTTTGTACGGTTAAGTTTAAGTCACGTCAATATTTTATATTAATTATTTTTATCGATAAAATAAGAAAAAAAAAATATAAAATATTAACATAACTTAATCGTGATCAAACAAATAAAAAAGATAAGAATGGCACCCAAACATGGCAGTCAATCTGCCTCCGTACAAAAATTGGTAGGTTTTTGAATTTGCAAGTGAAATTGTACGTAGAACTGTTTTGCTAATAATAAGTTCTATTAACTGACGAGCCTATAACCCTACAGACATGATGTGTCGTAGGCCTCTTTAGTTACCTTCATACCCTAGCCTGGGACCAGGCTTCTATGCCCTTCTAGTTCCCATACACTTCTATCCATTTCTATTTTGAGCAGTCACGATTAATTTACGTCAATATTTTATATTGATTTTTTTATAAAGTTAATAAAATAAAAAATAATAGTGATATAAAATATTGACGTGATTTAACTGTAACCGCACAAATAGAAATGGATGAAATTTTATGGAAACTGAAAGAGCATAGAAGCCAAGTCCCTAGCCTGGAAGGGATGCCCCTTCTATGCAAGAAACCATCAATGCCATTTCACTTACTCACACAAGATATTTTTGTATAATTTAATTCACACACACACATATATATATTTATTGCTACTTGTCTTCGTACTATTTTTAGAACTATTTAGGGTGATTTTATATATAAATTTTAATTTTTGATAGTCGAATCAAATAAATTAAATAAAATTGTAGAGCATAAATCGCTCCACATCAATAATAAATCAATTTTTTAGCATTTTAAACACTCTTGTTTAATTCAGTTTGTTAATTTCGATTGATTTATTCAATTCGATGAATAGAATAAAGAGTAGTGTGCAAATCACCTCTCTATATGCATAAGTGGTGGACAACTTCTTCCCTCGACTAAGGAGAAGAAGTTTTTCACACAAGATATGATGTGTCGTAGGCCTCATTAGTTTCGAAGGGATGCCCCTTCTTTGCAAGAAACCATCAATGCCATTTCACTTACTCACACAAGATATTTTTGTATAATTTAATACACACATATATATTTAAGGAATTTTAACGAAAAACTCTCGGTACTGTTTATTTTAACAAAAAATCATATTTTTACACTAAAAAGTCAATTCTGATACTATTTATTTTACCTTTTATTTTGTCCTTATCGTTAAAACTCTAAGTTTTCAAACCCTTTTCATTAGTTTTCCAATATATTTAGGAAATTGTTATTAGCACTCCAAAAATCTCATTTGACGTTCCAAACTTTCTATAATTAGAAAGAAAAATAAACTTGTGAGAGTGTAGAATGAGATTTTTAGAATCCTAATAACAATTCCTTATATTTATTGCTACTTGTCTTCATACTATTTTTAGGACTATTTAGGGTGATGCGATCCGCGTATTCATTTTTACTTCTCATATATAATTTTTAATTTTTAACATACTAATAAGATAAATTTAAGAAAATTCTAGAGTATAAATCACTCCACATCAATAATAAATGCATTTTTTTTAGCATTTTAAACACTCATGTTTAATCGAGTATGTTGATTTCGATTGATTTATTCAATTCGATGAATTGAATAAAGAGTAGTATGCAAATCACCTCACTATATGCATAAGTGGTGGACAACTTCTTCCCCCGACTAAGGAGAAGTTTTTCGTTGCAATTGTTAAATGATTACGTAGTATTACTAATATGAATGACAGATACAAATACTTTTACCTTTACAAAATTTGTACATCAATGTTTTTGAATGAGTCAACTACTACCAATATTATGAAATGGGACATCGCTCTTTCATGATATGGAATTTAAATGCTGATTTTATTTCCAATTTTTCATTGCTTGCACATTTTTCTTTTGCTTTTATTTAAATAGATAAAACAACGAGGGATGGCAAAGCTCTATAAAAATATCAAGGGCTATCATTGTCACAATCCTTCTTGCAGCATTTCTTTATGGATTCCCAAATCTTCCAAAACCAAACTTTCGTCAAAACGAGTCGCAAAAAAATTGATCCACGATATAATTTTCAAGTAGCAATCAATTTCAACTCATTACTTACCTATCTAACTTGAGTAATTTATGTATAAATTTGTCTTATAAGATTGAATCGTTGATGCACATAAATTCGATCCATGTGATCGTGCCACGTACAAAATTATGGCCCCGTAGCATTCTTTAAAAATTCCGTACACACTAATTCCCTACTAAATTTATAAATAAAAAAAATGCAAGAAAAATTATTAAAAAAAAGGGGACGCATCTCAATGACTCAAAAAACAAAGGTTTTATTGCCATTATGGCAAAATATAGTGCGATTGTACTGAGCTGGCAGTTGGCAGCTGGCACTGTCATTACACAAAAGCATAAACAAAACTTAAAGTTTCAGAGCAATGATAGGGAAACATTTTTGCTCACCATAATAAACTATGATGTATGTTTACCATACACCTAATCAATTAACACTTATCATTTCACTTAACGTTCTTATTTTTTATTGATGACATATCATTTAGTCTAAAAATTTGGTAGTCTTAGTATTATTCAAGATAAAGTGAAGTAAAAACCATTTCCTAACCACGACCTAGTAGCAAAGTACTGACAGCAACTCGCTAAAAAAAATGACGGAAGGTTTTGAGTTCAATATTTTATAAACTAGGAATTTACTTAATATGACTACTTATACGACGTAATTCCTAACTAATCTTCTCTAAATTTGAAAGAAATAGATAATCGTAGTTCGTCATTCATCATTCCTTTTAAAAGATAAAGAAGTAAAAGCATTTCCCCAATTCCCTATTCCCCTGCTTTTCTTCAAATACCACCAAATAGATGCTTCACTCACAGCCTGGACAGTGAACCAGCTGGCCTGCTCAGTGAACCAGCTGGCCTTCTCATTGGATTAGGTCTGAACCCTGCTTTTGGGTAGGGACGTGTCCTACACCTCAAGTGAGGAGCCCACACAGAGCGGAGCAACGGCTACATTTTTAATCCTGTTGGCCCTGTTCAGTCCATGCATTTATCGAAATTTGAAATCCTATGTGGTTGCTGATGTGGTGATGGAGCTGATGACGTGGACAGTGACTGGCTGTTGTGAGAAGTGGCTTCTCAGAAAAGCCTAATGAAAATTGGGCTATAAAAGCCAGTGTTTTCGGTTTGTGCTTCCACAGACTCAGAGCAGTTCAGTGAAGAAGATCCACACTTTCTCTGCACTCTTCTTCTTCTGCTCCACTCCCTTCTTCTGCTCAACTCAACTCTCTTCTTCTGCTTCCATGGCTGGTTCAGCTTTTGGAATAATGGCTTTTTCTCTAAGTGCTTTTGTGAGTCTTGCATTGCTGGGTTTGGTCAGCTCAGCAAAATTTGATGAGCTTTTCCAGCCAACCTGGGCTTTCGATCATTTCACCTACGAGGGAGAGCAAATTCACATGAAACTCGACAACTTTTCCGGTATATTAAAATCTCCCAACACAAAAAAAAAAAATACCAATCGATACCAAAAAATGTTTTCTTTTCAGTTTTCAACCAATTAAGCTCTGATTTTTTCTCGCACTATTGTTTTTGGTTGTTTTCTTGTTAAAATGGTTTTTATCCCTCATTTTTGCGGAAAGACTGACGTGACCGCGGCATCTTGTGTCAATAATATAATATTTAGTGTTAGTCCGATACACCAGCTGTCACTAGGATGTGTGTAATCTGTCATTTTCTAACTAATTAAATGTGACGGGCTTGAAATATTAGGTGCTGGGTTTTCAATTTAGGAACTTTTTCGAGTGTTTGGATTTGTTTTCCCAAAAAAATGCAATGTTTCTTAGTTTTTTGCTGGGTATGAAATTTCAGGAGCTGGGTTTCAATCCAAGAACAAGTACCTGTTTGGAAAAGTGAGCCTTCAGATTAAACTCATCGAGGGCGACTCAGCTGGAACTGTCACTGCTTTCTATGTAAGTAAACAATTTCAGTCTTAATTTTTAAGAATTTCAATTAAAATCTTTAATCCTGCGTTCATTATTTTTGTGTCCATCTGTATTTAGTAATATATTTAACTAAATTTAATTACTTCCGGTAAATAATATAGTCTGATTGCTCAGTAATTTCAATTCCATTTATCTGATTTCTTAATTTTTTTTTTGTTTAATTTTTCTTTTTCTTTTTGTAGATGTCATCGGACGGTCCACAACACAATGAGTTCGACTTCGAGTTTCTGGGGAACACGACAGGGGAACCTTATTCAGTGCAGACCAATTTATACGTTAATGGCGTGGGAAACAGAGAACAAAGATTGAACCTTTGGTTCGATCCCACCACGGAATTTCATACCTACTCTATCTTCTGGAATCAGCGCCAAGTAGTGTAAGCACTCTCGCATTTTCAATTACGTGACATTATTTTAGCTACGAATTAATAACACGATATTATTTTAACCACAGATTAGTAAACGCTGACATAAACCCGATTACGGGAAGTAAATATTGGGCCACTCTCTGCATAAATATATAAAAGTCGGAAAGAAAAACGTAAGGCAACCCATTAAAAAGGAAAACGAATCTTGCGTGATGCGTGTAGGGACAGAAGTGTTCTTCTGCTCTGCTTTTGTGCAATTCGCATTTTACTATGCCCTACCGCATCATGTCTCACGTGTTAAGACTTGAGAGAGAGCACTCTAGATACATCACAGAACTTAAGTAAGACGGTATTTCAAATCAATCAAGCATTATTGTTTGCTTTAATTTTTTTAGATAATAATATTTGATCGGTTTGAGATACCAGTATTCAATCGAGCATTGTTAGTTTAGTATATTGTCACGGTGAAATTGGATTTATCGTTAACCCCAACATAAATGAGAAAAGGAAATATGATATTCTTAAAGTTCCTATCTTTGATGTTCGCAAAAGAAAACCCTTTAATGTGTGTGGTGGATTCTTTAAATTAAAATTGTATGTGGGATCTGCATGAGTGGTTGACGTCAATACTTCTAGACTGTAGTGCATGACAGAAATCGGGACGTCAAGTAAGACGATAATTTAATTCAGTCAAGTATTCTTGTCTGACTTAATTTTATCGGACAACAATATTTGATCGGTTTGAGATACCAATATTCAATCAGGCATCGTCTCTCGTTTTATTAGTTTAGAATATTGTCACAAATCAAATTTCTAGCTAACCCCAATATAAATAAGAAAGGAAGTATGATATTCTTCTCGAAGCTCTCTTCTTTGACATTAGACATTGCCTTATTTCTTTACAAATTATTGACGTTTTTGTTCTTGTTTTGGTCAGGTTCCTAGTGGATGAGACACCCATTAGAGTCCACACCAACATGGAAAACAAAGGGGTGCCCTTTCCCAAGGACCAAGCCATGGGTGTGTACAGTTCAATTTGGAATGCAGATGACTGGGCCACACAGGGTGGTAGGGTCAAGACAGATTGGTCCCATGCACCATTCATAGCAACCTACAAGGGCTTTGAAATCAATGCCTGCGAGTACCCAGTTTCCATTGCAGCTGCAGATAAGGCAAAGAAGTGCATCAGCAATGGTGACCAGAAGTACTGGTGGGATGAGCCTACTTTGTCAGAGCTAAGTGTCCACCAGAACCACCAGCTCGTTTGGGTTAAAGCTCACCACATGGTCTACGACTACTGCACCGATTCCGCTAGGTTTCCGGTGACTCCCCTCGAGTGCGTGCATCACCGCCACTAGTTGATGGTGCGAGCAATAACAGTCGGGAACGAGAGGGGGGGGGGAGAAAGAAACTTTGTATAAAAGAAATCCAGGAGTGGGGGCGGGGGGTTAAAAACTAAATAAACATGTGCTTCATGTTTTGTTCAATTTATTTTTTCTTGTGTCTGTTGGTCTTTGTATGATAAGGCATGGTTATTTTAATGTGAAATATGAAGTTCTTTTTAGCAAACACTTTGGGGGATTTTGTCCGCTACTACGACCACAACATTTTGTACAATTGTGCTCGGTTGCATGCCATGCTACTATGGCCAAAACATTTTGTACAATTGTGCTAGGTTGCATGCTTTTCACTGTGGCTATAGTTGTATATATGTAGGTCACGGGAAAAACAATCATGTGTTCAATGGTAGGTGGGGAAGGAAAATGAAAGAAAGAAAGAGTGGACCCCCCAGACTTTTGATTTTTTCGTACCTCGCAGTTTGGAGTCTTAACGAGTATGGATTTGAACTGTTTAAAACAGAGAAAAAGAGATTCGGATTCTTAAGTTATATGGAATGAATTAGCGAAATGAGTTAATAGGGATTGTTAGATTGAATTTGAGTGGTACAGATTACCTGCTCCTTTGCGTTATGGACAATGAGATCTCTAGGGTAAGTGGGAAGTGATTCAATCTTTAAACTCGAATTTTGAGTTGTTGAACTAGGTAAAAATGACTTACTAAATGTGTAAACAAAAGTAATGGAATAATTCAGCTGGTTAAGAAGCTTCACTCCTACATTAAAAAATTTGAAATTAATTCTCTATCTTTTAATTATCATTTTTACAATAATAATAATAAGTTCGATAAAATTGTTAAGCACATGTCAAATTATAATTCATTTGTATCTTCCATCAAGCATAAAGGAGAATTGGACCATTTGGTAATAAATAATTGAAGTCTATGATTAAAGAGAAGTTAAAAAGAAGCCAAAGTCATAGGCCATATGTTTTTGTGTGATTCAAATTTGTGTCACGGACTTCACATCACATTCCTTGTGAAAGAGGAATGTGGGAGCTGAAGTCTTTGCTGGTAGTTGTTACCTTGGATTTATCACACTGACATGACATTACTCGACGTTGTCTTTAGACAACACAACAGTTTTGGAGTCTTTAAGAGGAAGAAATCAAAGAATTATCACAAGAATACAACTTAAAAGCTTCTCTTTCAGCTTTTCTGGAAGTTTCGTCGAGGGTTTCGTATTAATTTAACGTAGATTATCGCTTGTAAATAAACAGTTCTTTGGTCTTCTTGCTAATACTGCTGGGCCAAGGCTAGCATGCATGATCGAGTTAATTAAATAGCACAGTGTTTAGTTAATTTCATATGCTCTTGGGTCATCAAATCTTCAATTGGGGTTTCGCTACAGTCCAAAACCTAGTGTAATTAGTGATAACAATACTGCTTCTGTGCTAATGGTTTTTGTTAATCCATGACATAATCCAAAGGACTGAGGTCCCATACATAAGAAAGGATAAGAGGATGGTTGTGGAAGGAGGTGATGGTTAACTACTCACATTGAATTAATCTAAATAATGGAAGATAAAGTTACTATGCATCTTTTGTATTCATGCACACTTGGTCTTGGTTTATTAAAAGATAAAAAATGAATAAAATGTGCAGAAAAGAAAAACTAGTGTCCATAAATTAGATGGTTTACTGGCCCATCACGAGTTGTGACACTAAAAATTCAATTCAACAAACAATAAACGAGTTCATATAATGAAATGGGATTCTTTATCTTGTGGGGTTTTAGCCAAAATGATTATGGAGATTGGCATAACTCCTCATTTTGGAGCTCTGAGATTAAAATAGATAGAAGTAGTCTCTGATTTTGTCCACTGTCAATCATTTTGATCGTTAGTGAAAAGTCTTCGTTAAATAAGGACCAAAACAAAAATACTCTCAAATTATGTCAAGTTATTTTGGCCATTGTTTATTAAATTGAAGGTATTTTAGTTATTTTATTCCTTATTTAACCGAGATTTTTCATGAAATGATAAAAAATATTGATGGTGGATAAACTCAGGAACTTTTATCGATTTCAAATCTCAGGGATCAAAGTGAAGAATTATGCTAATTTTAGAGACCATTTTGCTAAAATGCCATTATTTTGCAAAAATAAAAGCACAAAGCTAAATGAAGCCATTTTACCATAATAAATAAATGACTCACTTAAGTCCCACTTCAACATAAAGTAATGCTCAAGATCATTTAAAATTAGAGCTCTGAACACGATCGAAAATGACAAATTATCTTTAACGCGTCAATGAAATTCATAAATAAAATATCAAAATGCTCTCAACACATTATCGAACAAAATCTATGTTCTACAAAGAACGAACGTCATACATCAAGAGTTACAAGCTCGTGACAAAGAGTGCCCTAGTGCTATGAAAGAGATGGAGCTACCACTCATTTAAGAAGCATTAAGATAAGGTGGATGATCAATGGTAAAGGCAATAATTAATTGTGTGGGCAAACACGTAAGGTCCCATCCCACCGATTTTTAAAGGCTGGGAAAAAGGTTTGATCGATCATTGAGTACGAAATACAAGTGAAAGCATCAAAACATCCACAGAAAGACAATGATGGCATCGAATTTGAAGCTCAGTCTACATGAAGTGATCAAAGTGGGAGACAAAGATAAATGTAAAATAAGCCGAAAGCGATTTTATGCACTTGTTGAACAGAAAAATGAACTGCAAATTATATGTAAAGGAGCATATTAGGCCATCTCCAACTGAATGGTCCAGAAGATCAGAGGGCAGAAAATAGCCAGAAAATCGTCTCCAGCCGAGAGCTAGGCCAGATGACTCTGGAATCTGGGAGGGCACCACGGGATCCAAGAGGGCTAAAGGGCTGGAGGGCTGGCTATTTTTTTTTTAATGCTTTGTTATTTCTGTTGGTTATAACCGACAGAAATAATATATACTATATTATTAGTGTCGGTTAACCGACACTAATAGCAATGTTAGTGTAATATCAGTTTGAACAGTGTCGGTTTTAACCAACACCAATTTGAATTCCAACGGCTAGCCAGTCACTAGCCGTTGTATTCAAATTTTTTTTTGTTTTTATGAATTTAAACCTTTTTTTCTTTCTATAACTTATATTTTACAAAAAAAAATTTTTTTAAATTCTATTTTTTTCCTATAACTTCTATTTCACAAAACTTGTTTCATATATTTTTAAATTCCATTTTTTCCTATAACTTCTATTTCACAAAATTTATTTCATAGTTTTTTTAAATTCCATTTTTTTTCCTATAACTTCTATTTCACAAAATTTGTTTCATATTTTTTTTTAAATTCCATTTTTTTCCTATAACTTCTATTTCACAAAATTTGTTTCATATTTTTTTTTAAATTCTATTTTTTTTTCCTATAACTTCTTAAGCCATTATACAACATTCAATTAAATTAAGTGACATGAAACAACATTAAACAATATGAAACAACATTAAAGAACATTAACCAACATAATAAATTAGGTTTGGCCCTCGGTTGGAGACAGTTTTTTGTGACAGGGCTAAAACGAGCTCTCTGACCTTCGGTTGGAGACGGAGGCAAATATGACCATGTACTGTTCATTAAAATATTAATATCTTGGAGAATCTTGGAGGGCCAGAGGGCTCAAATGAGCCATCTAGCCAGCCATCGGTTGGAGATGGCCTTAGATGCTTTAATACATATATTCTAGTTATAATTACAAAGCTTCAACACAGCACAAATAGAAAAAAGTCTGTTGTAAACATAAAATTAGGACTCGTTTGAAAGTGTTATTAAAATAGATGAATGCACTTTGGTGAAAATGTATTTGAAACCAATCATTAGTTAAAATGTAAGTGAATCCTGAAAAAAACACTTAAAAGGTTTTCTACAAGAAGTATATAACTGGTGCTTATTGTATGAAGCACTTCAAATACTTTTGGAACCCAAAAACATTATCTAAAAACACTCTCAATCATTCTAAAAATTCATCTAAACAAGCCCTTAGTAACACCGGATGTGATTTATACCAATCTATATGCCAAATGTACCGCTTGATTTTTAAAATGTGTCAGTCAATAAGCCCTACAATGATGCGTTTGCTGATTGAATTGTGTAACACTACTTAAAGATTTGCCTCACGACCAGATTGGTCTAAATACATTATTTGATGAGTGATTTGGGAAGAGGATCATCTCCTGAGTTCAGAATGGGGATCCTCTTAACCAGCTGATATGGACCGTTCAAATTGAATCCAACGATTCTAAACAGACGGACTCTTTAAAGTTATAATAATTGCAACTGTTGAATTAAATGAGGTCAGGAGAGGATCATCTTCCGAGTGATTTGTACGTTCGTATGCACACCCTTGAAGGAATAAAGATGCAGCACTAAAAGAACCATGATCGGTAAAAGTGATACAAAATACTGAAAAAATTGAAATTCTTGAAACATAATGAAGGTCTTGAAAATACACACAATCAAAATCATGATGAAATTTTAAAGCTGAAGTATAAAGTTACACAACGAAAGTGATTTTACACTTTCTTCTTTCTTTCTTATTTTTAAATTTAATAAATCGAGAGAAATAATTACAGGATATAAATAAAAGATAAGTGTAAAAGAAAAAAAAAGAGTGGAAAAAAGTCAAAAACCACTATCCTAAAAAGTAAAAATTGTATTTGGTTTTAATAATGAGTTCCATTGACAGCAAGGAATGCATTGCAATTCAATTATCTCTCTACTGGTTATTGTAGTGGCTTTTATCTTTACAATTTAGTTTCTTAATTGATAAAATCAAAATTTTTAGGGTAAATTATACAAAACTACCTCAACTATTGGGTCATTAACAGTTTCATACCTCGTCTTTAAAAAGTTTTAATATCATACTTTATCTTCGAATTTGTTGCAATGTCATACCTTCCGTCCCCCCCCCAAAAAAAAAAACAATGTCCAGATCGTTGCAACCCACCCAACCCTTCCTGAAGTCGGACCTCAACTGGTTGTTTTCTTTTTTTTTTTTGTTTTTTAAGTTTTGAATGGGAAGGGAGATGAAGAGAGTGGAGGAAAGGGAGGTGGTTGGGAGGCTCGGGAGGGAGAAGAGGATCGGAGGACGATGGGGAAGATGGGAATGGTGGGTTTGTTTTGTTTTGTTTTTTTATTTTATAATTTTATAATATTTAATTAATTTTTTTTAAA